AATTACAATAGCGAAGCAATTCGATATTTCCGAGGCAACCGTTTCAAAAATTGTGCGTGATAAGGTAAGATGGTTATTGCTTGATCTAAGAATATAGCCGTGTAGTCAATGTTATGTCTTTTTTCGCTTTTTATTTTCCTTTATTTCTTCGTTCTTTGAATGATATAATTAAATGATATGACATTTCATATAAATCGTTTAGCACAGTTGAATCGTCAGTAGAAATAACGTTTGAGTCATTTATTATTATACGACCATAAGACTGGCCAGTCGCGATATAGTGAAGGTTTATGCCACTTATATATGAACTTTACTATATTGAAAATTTTCGATATAGTAAATTCTTCGATATAGTAAAAAAAAGTCCCTATCCCATCAACTTGACTATATCGGAGTTTGACTGTAATGGACTTCTTAATTATTGCACGTGTAATTCCATTATAGTGCGACTTTTTCCACTACTATAAATCCACTTAGTAATAAATGTCATCAGAATATTCCTTGTAAGTGAAAGACTTAGTCACAATCTTTATTGCACTAACAGTTATACATGATACATATGTCATATAGACAAACGATATTACAGTAACAAAGCTTATTTATCGACAATGCTATCCAGCCGCGGTTGTTTCTTTGATTGAAAATTACACAGATCAATCTTTTGTTTAATTGAACTGAAATACAATTGTTCAGAAAATTCTAATTTAAATTGTTGTCTTATTGCTCGAAAAATTGTAACATAGCCTCAGCACCTCTGCATAATAGCTTCGTCAGATGGAGCACTTCTCGCCTCTCCATATATTCACGAAGGTTGTATTTCTTCTTGAATTTTGTAATCCACCCGTCGGACGCTTTAAACCCTTCAATACTGAGTAACATCGCAAAGCCGATTGCTTTTTCTTTGACAACATTCTCATATTTGAGGGCCGATCTGAACAGTATATTCATCAGAATCCGTTGTAAGCCACTTTTCTTTTGCTATTAATATTGCGGAGACACTTTTTCTTTTGATTCCGCAAGTTCGCCATTCGTTGGTGTAGGCTTTTTCTCCTTGCCGAGACATAGTTATATTCTTTTAGATATATGATTTGGCATTTCGTATAAACCCAAGTGTTTTACACAATGTTAAATCATGTTAATATTGAGTTAGTTCACAACAGAAAGTCCGGAAAGCGGTTTTCAAACTCTCAGATTCGGGCCGTATTCAATAATGAATCACAGGATTTTAACTGACAACGTATGATATTAAATTACCAGTCAGATTTTATTAGAATACAAGAGCTATTTTAGAGGACAGTTTATATTTAAAATAAAGGAATATTAAGACATAGCCATTCATACCTGCAACTGAATCAAAATTATGATTGTTTCTTAAATCTCCAGTAGGTAATACATTACTAGAGTATTTACTCTCTTTCTTGAGACGTGATAATACAGGGTAAGGATAGCATTTGACAACTACTGCTTGCATAAACTCAACCATCTTGCCATTTAATCAGTGAAGTATGGTAAACTCCTGCTGGAAATACCCTGGGAGGGTTTGACAAAGTAGAGGCAGCCAATGTTCCTTCCAATAGCAAAAGCTTGGAGGCGTCCTTCCAATTCATTTAGGCTAACTTAAACTGTGATCAAATCCTCACACTCGATCTCTTCATCTTTCAGTGTACAAATAACAGTATGTCACTGTAGCAGATTTTGCATAATACCCAAATATATATGGGCAATTTCCATAT